AACTGTTTTACATAGCCAACAATTCTCCAGCAACTCCTATTTACTTTCTCACTTCCTTGGTGAACTTATTTCCCCTAGAGTCCCACATGGCAAGTTAGTGAAAAGAAAAATTTGGGAGAGTTGAAGAAAGCTGTGTGCCAAGGAAGCATTTCGGTCCAGTAATCCAACAACTCCCTCTTCTACTGGCCCTGCTTTCCACTATTCCCCATCTATCCTAATGTTCCTTCCCTCAGAGAAAGTGTACATTTGGGAAGAAAGGAGGCAGCTAGCTTTCTATGGTTCAGGATAAGACTTGATACTCTCTTTAGCATAAATTAGGAAGCCAACTGAAGTTCCAAGGTGAATTCCCAAACCACCACAAATATTCATTTAGTTTCACACAAATATACTAAGACATACATGCACACATATATTGCCCCTACCTGCCCCCTCTCCTATCCACCCATGCCAAAAAAGACAAAATTAAGTGCATTCCAAACTAAGTGCATTGATAGTGTTTTGGTTTACTTAAATCTCCTTTAGTAGAATTAAGGACACTTTTAATATCAGGAGAACTAATATACACTTAGCCAATCATCACATTCTTTGTGAAGAAAAGTTGTCCAGTGGTTAAATCATATATTCCACGCCCTGAGGAAATAGCTGCCACTTCAAATCAAGATGATCCTTCCAGAAATCAGCACTCTTCTGAGAATGCAGTTGTTTTTATTCATTCTCTCACAGAACTGAACCTGCCTTTACAACTAGGTATCATAAGCTCAACCCCAGATACAAGTGTCTTTTACGGTATTCACTCTTCTGGGACCCAAAGTTCCTTTCCCTTCTCTTCGTCATGGCAGTACTAAGCAGACCAGAAAAGGCCAGGCTATAAAACAGACAGCACTGACCTGGGGTCAGACAGACCAGCATCTGAATGCTGGCCTTCTATATGACCAAGAAAATAACTCTCATTGTCTCATTTCCTTACCTGCAAATGGGGACAAAAACACTTCCCAAATGGCTTCTTGAAGATTAAGTGAAACAACACATAAGAAAGTACACACAGTAGGCCCTCAGTAAATGTTCATTTCCTCCTTCCCAGTTCAGTTTTTTGCACATGTGACAACACTATTGACAGCAGGATGGGTTAGAGATGCACTGAGGAGAGTAAGAAACATTAAGATTAGGAAATAATCATCTCCTTTAAGCTGTTCTGGCCCCACCCTTTTCAAAACATGCCTTCTCATATTTTTCTTTTCCATTGTTAAGGCATAAACTGAGACAGAAGAGAAAGCAATTAGGAAAATTATAGGAGGCAGCAGAGTCTGACATCTGTTGAAGGGAAAAGTAGCCATTTTAAAAGCAAAGAATTGAGCAAAATGTGATTTGGGAAAAAATATGAAAGCCAAAGTTTTCATTAACCTGCAAGGACAGGCAGAAAGAGACTTAAAAATTGTAAAGGTTCATATTGTTGCAACCAGTTATATAATTCCATAGCCCAATTTCCTGAGGATGTCAAACAAGGTGGGTGTTGCTCTGTCAAATACTTTGTAGCAGTTAATAACTAACAAGTTATTCCTCAAGTACTAGGAGTAGATGATACTGCTGCAATGGAGCCTGTGTGTCATTTAAAGGTTAAAACTGTGCAATGTTAAATTTGGGACTTTATACAGGCAAATGTCGGGAAATTCACATCTGTGATTCTCTGAGTAATCGCTCTGCAACCTCCTGGTGCAAGCACAATAGTTAAGTTTTGGGGGAGTCAAAAGTTATACATGGATTTTTGACTGTGTGTGTGTGTGCGCGGGGGCGGGGGGAGGGGGCGGGGTCAGTGCCCCTAATCCCCACATTGTTCAAGGATCAACGGCACATGCAGAACTTGTTTCAGTCTATATGACAGATCAATCACTGGAGCAGTATTAAGTTGCTGAAGGAAGAATAACTGGATTGAGTTAAAGCAACATACCACTGCTTTAACAAGAATACAGCAATTCTGGTTTGTTTACAACACTTAATTACTTTTCCCTCACACACACCTTCTCTTTGGTCACACTCTAAATTCATCACATTTCCACGTGCTTTGGGGCTTTTTATATCACAGTGGAAAAGTTTTAAAAGTTGAAGCAGAGGAAATCCAACTCAGTCCTCCTCCTTTTCCTCAAGTTTACTTTTTCCCAATAGCCATCTGGAACTGGATATCACAGCTTCAACTTAAAATAATGGAGGGGGCCCGAGAAGTTACATGGTCTCTGCTCGCCCTTAGAAGACCTCACAATGCAGTGAAAGACAACACATGCACACACAAAACATAAAGCTGGCAGGAAGGAGAAAGAGAATATGGAGAAGTGTTTTAAGAGAGCTAAGGGGGAACCATCAGCCTTTAAGTTTTATGGACTGTATGCAAAGATCAATGGCACAAATGATGGATAAATTCCTACCCAAATTTGGGGGTGGGGTGGACTTCTTTGAATTTCATCACTGTTATCTGTTCAAAGTCATAGTTCTAGATATATATCTAAAGCAGTGATTCTTTATAGGGAGGTGATTTTGCTCCTCAGGGAACATATATCAATATCTGGAGACATTTTTGGTTGTCTCCAAAAGTGGGAAAACTAGTGGGCAGAGGCCAAGAATACTGATGATAATCCTACAATGCAGAGGACAGCCTGCACAACAAAGAATTACCCAGTCCAAAATGTCAACAGTGCTAAGGTTGAGAAACCCTACACAAGAACTTGTGAAGCTGACTTAGCTGTTCATGAAATAAAATAAAAGTTCTGGAATGTAAAGTTGGTTTTATTTTTCCTCATAGAACTGAAACTAGCCTTTACGGCCAGGCATCATAACCTCCCACCACATATATTAATGCCTTTCATTTGTATCTGATAAAACCTATCTCTCATAAAATATATCTCAAATGTCTTCTTTACTTATTTTAACCACAAAAACTATCCGGCAATTAATCTTAGATGCTTTGAAAATAATTTATGAATGGTGGTTTCCTGGAAGAAAGGATACAAAAGCCTAAAAAGAACAATTATGAGATAAAATATATTTATATTCAAAAGGTAATTTTTCAAAAACAAATCACCATAGAGAAATAAAATCTCACAAAAGATGTCAATGTCTACTCAGGAAAACAATAGTATCTGCAGCAGACGCTAACTTACTGTGAAAGAAGGTAAACCTGTCTAGATAAATTTCCCAAACAAAATAAGTTTCATGAAAATTTACTTTCTAGCCCCTGTATTCAAATATTGAAAATAAGTTTGATCCTTTGGAAAACATCACAAGCTAAGAGATCAAACATCCCAGTTTCCAACATCCTTCAAGAAGGATAAAATCATGATTGGGCAATATATGGTCAAAAGAACTTGGAAAAAAGAAAACACTGATAAATTGGACTTCATCATAATTAAAAACTTTTGCATTTCAAAACATACCATCAAGAAAACCAAAAGACAAGCCACAGAATGGGTGGAAATATTTGCAAATTATATATGTGATAAGAGATTTGTATCCAGAATACTATATCTAAAGTTCTCTTACAACTCATTAAGACAAAAAGCCCAATTTAAAAATAGGCAAAATACTTGAATAGCCATTTCACCAAAGAAGATGTATAAATGGACTATATGCATGTGAAAAGATTCTCAACATAATTAGTTATTGAGGAAATGCAAATCAAAACCACAATGAGATATTACCTCATACCCACTAGAATGGCTAAAATAAAAAATACGAACAATAACAAGTGTTGAAAATGTGGACAAATTGGAACTCTCACACAATGCTGATGGGAATGTAAAATGGTACAGCTAGCTGCTCTGGAAAACAGTTTGGCAGTTTCTTAAAATAATATAATAGTTTCTTAGGATGCCCATAACAGCATTATTCATAATAGCCAAAAAGTGGAAACAACCCAAATGTCTATTAACTGATGAACTGATAAATTGTAGTATATCTATATAATGGAATATGAAACACAATCGACATGGATGAATCTCAAAAACATTAAGCTAAGTAAAAGAAGCCAAACACAAGAGACCACATATTATATGATTTCTTTTATATAAAATATTCAAAAAAAGGCAAATTTGTGAAGATGGAAAGTACATTAGTGGCTGCCTAGAGCTGGGGGTGTGAATGGGGAGTGACTACAAACAGACACAAGGTTTCCTCCTAGGATAGAAATGGTCTACCCTTAAAACGGGTGGATTTTATGGTATCTAAATTATACTTCAATAAAGCGGCTAAAAAAATACTGTAAGCTGGAAGATAACACCCTCATTTAACTTATGAACTAGGTGACTGAGGCAATGTTTGAGATACTTAGAATATTGATTGCAGATGTAAAGACACTCAGTAAATATCTGTGGAATGAAAAAGTTAACTTGCTTAATCAGCGAGGATTTTTTTTAGCACTCAAGGCTCAATTCACATATTTTCCCCCACAAAAATCCTGAACAACTCCAGCAAAATTCAGACAGAATGGGAATTCTGTCAGCATTAACAGTACTCTGCATTACCAAATGAACATACATTTTCTTGCTCTGAGCATACTGATTTGACCCAAGCACAATAATACTTTTCCCCACCTCTGTGTACAACCAGCCTTCAGGTCTGTGTTGAAAATTAAACCCTAAATAGGTTATTTGTTACTGAACCTAAAATATAAAGGCTCTTTTAGAGTTTCACAACTATCCTGTCTTCAACGACATCAATCTTGCTTCCTGGATAAGTAATTATTAGAGATGTGTTTGTGGTATCTGTGTACACTTGCTCCAACGTAAAGACAATGTCATATCCAGATTATTATTCTTGCCAGGCATATTTAAAACAAAATTATTTTCATACTTTAACTTTTAAAAAATGGTTTTATATCAGATTTCATTAGCTACTGAGTGTCATTATTTGTTGAGGAATTATAAAGGTCAAAAAGCAGCAAGTTGTTTAAACCAAATGACCAGTGCATACTTTGTAGGTGTTTTTACCTTTTCTATATAAAAACAAGCAGTTAGATGGCCCTGAAGTAAAGGTCTGAGTCTAGATATACTCAATCTTCCATGATGATACAACAAATTTGTAACCCTAATGGTTTTGTGCAACATGGGCTGATTCTTAATACTCTTCCACTGGTGTCTCTCCTCCTACTCTCCACTCCTATTTACTGGAATGCCATTTATTAGGAAGGCACACACCTTATAATCATTTAACTCATCAACTAAGGGATTAATCTAAAACTTCAAGTTTTAGAACACAAAAAGTCAAATTCCCTACTCCACAAGTAAGCAAGTATATTGGGCACCAATAGAGGAATTTTAATTTATTATTAAATATATCATAGTTTATGTACGAAGGCTCCAACTACCATAAAAGAAAAAATATAAACTTATTATAAGCCAAAAAATTCTCATTTTAGTAGTAAAACCTTCTACTGTAATTTCTCATATCCCTAGCTCTACATTGAATACTTGAATTTTGACTCCTCAACTTTTGAGCTGAAAACCTAGAAAATCACAATTTCTTTGGGCTTTAATTTCACACACACACACACACACACACACACATGCTTGCGCATGCGCACTGGAAAATATGTGCTTTTTGAGTCCCTTTGGGTCTGGAGGGAATATGAACTTGTATTTAGTATTTAATATTTCCCTCCACCGTAGGTGATGACTTACCATTCTTCTTTTAATAAAGATAAAAATCTAAGCCTTCTTTTAATGTTAAATGAAAAAAATTTAAATGTACTGTCATAACTAAAAACAAACCAAAGTACCACCACCCCCATAACCAGTTGAAATCACTGACCACTTACTGAATCACTCTGTAGTGACAACTCTAGGCTCATTTGGTAGATCTTGATGGCCCAATCTTTCTTCCTTTGAAGAAAATAAATTCTTGGAGATATACAATCCAATCAAAGGCAGAGTCCTCCTACCACAACAAAATAAGCAACTTTGCTTAAGCAAAATTACTTACTTCCAGAGTAAACTAAAGGCTCCACTTAGAATATCTCATAAAACAGCTACAGAAAAATACAAATTAAAGACCCAAGCTCTTATCCCTATTCCCTTGCTAGATAATGTTGGCTAAGCTGCGCAACAGTCGCCGTCTACGAAATAAGAATGTTTGCCCCAGTAAATTACTTTAAGATCCTTTTGTAAGTATAGGAGTCTGACAGACCTAGAAACAAACTCTCAGTCTTGCAGAAGAATGAATGTTTCCCAAAGAAGCAATGTCATAAATGATGACTAGCTTTGCCTGTGTAATTATTTTAATACCTTATTTTAGGGTTAATCTTCTCTACCATTTCTCACACCAATGACACCTTAAATAGTTCTGATTGCTAAGGAATTCCAAAACATTTCATTCACATGCCCCATGCATACAAATTCTGAATGTGAACCTATGCTCCAGCACTTATTACTTGAACACTTTGGGCAAGTCAGTTAGTATTTTCAAGCCCTGAATTCTTCATTTATAAAATGGAGAGAACTGACTTTATAACTTCACAGGGAAATAAGAACCAAATTAAACAACATAAAAACATGTCCTGGAAGAGTACTGATATACATAGAAGTGCTTGATATAAGATCTCCAAATTCCCACATTTCATTAAAAGAATTTGGCTCCAAATGTTAAGATGTAGAACCTGAATGGCTTACAGTTGCTGAGTTGGCATAACGTACTTTAAAACCAAACAAATCTCCAAGGACTTTTCTATCTAAAGTTCCTTCCAAGCAAGTAGAGTAAGAAGTTAAAACTTAGGTATCGACATTTTATTATTTTCACAGGTGAAGCACACACTTTCACTATATCCCTCTTGAGGGCAGGAATAGTACTTCAGTCATTATTTCAGTTACAGTAACTGGCACAGAGACTAGCTCTGTGCTTAATATATATCAGAATACACTTCTCCCGAATAAAAGTAAATGTTCATATAAGTGAAGTGGGAAGACATCTGGCCTTGAAGTACAAACACCTGCTCTCACACCATATATAGCCTTGCACAAGTCCCTCAAGAGTCCTGAGCCTTCATTTTCCTTTAAACGTCTACACTGTAAGTCTGTAATGCCCCTTTTATCTGATGCCAGACATCCACCCAGAATACTGTAAATAAGATTCTTGAGTGACAAAATGAAGAGTTTCTCACAAAGTCCATGCATGCATTTTATCCATAGTAGAGGGCTATGGATTTTTATTTAATGTATATTTTTAACAAACTTGCTTATTCGGTTATGAAATATTTTCCATTGTTGACTGGCTAAAAGCAGTAAAATGGACCAAATGTCAAAGGAAAGAGAAACCAGAGAAACCATAAAAGCTCCTCTTCCTGATGCATGGAATGAAACCCTTCCCCAAAAAAGATCAGATTTCAATTCAAAATCATACTATGGCCTAATACCACTGAACATTTGACAAAAGTCATTTATTAAGGAAGTCTCCATCTCTTATGCCAAAATTAGACTCAATTTGTAATTAATTTGATTCAATCTTTAATTATGGTAAAACGTAATGAATGCTCAGCAAATGCTGCATTCCAATACCATTACCATTAGCCTACTCATTAACCTGGAAAAGATAAAGCTCTTTTACAGTTCACTTTTTCCTACTCAAGTAATTGGTTCACTATTTGCTCTTATTTTTCACTATATAACATTAATGGAATCATAAAGGAAAGGTCATCTAATTTTAAAGAACAAAAAAGCTGGCTTTTGAGTTATCAAAGAGGTATTTTTACATATAAAGTGGATCATTTTATGGAATTAATTTTCTCACAATGATGCCATTATACTTTGAAGAAAAACAGTATTACTATGGGCCAACTCTATGTAACATATAGCCTTACTGCTAACATAAACAGGTAATTAACACATATTTTATGTTACTTGTATTATATACTGTATTCTTACAATAAAGCTAGAGAGAAAAAAATGTTAAGAAAATCATAAGAAAGAGAAAATACGTTTATAGTATTTATTTAAAAAAAAAATATCCACATATAACTAAACCCAAGCAGTTCAAACCCGTGTTGTTCAAGGGTCAACTGTAATTCTTTTGGAAAGTTAAATACGCCAAAAATCTTAAGCAAATTCTGATACGTTCACTAGATATAATAAATGATGGAAACCAATTTATTATGTTAAATAAAAAATATCAGAACAAAAATTACATATAAAGTGTTATATATAAACTATATTTTATGTAAATATACGTATTATACAAATTTGAATGTGCCAGTCTCTGAGTTAAGCGCAACAATCCTGAGAAAATTATCACCATTTTACAGATAAGAAACTGAAGAGCAAAGGTTAATTGTGCTTAACTTTCAACTGAGAACAGTGCTCTGACTCGAGCCACACGTTAAAAACAGGAGTCCTGAGTTATGATCAACTTTCCAGAATCCTTTGGTAGAAGAGCCTACCACCCAGTCCTATGCCCTCTTTACTACACTGGTCTCCTCGCCTATGGTTTCTTTTCAGAATTACTTAGTTTGTTGGTCATTATGAAGGTCCAGAGGCAACGGGACTAGGCACAGTAATACTAACGTTGGTGGAGAGCCTACGTCTCAGTAGAGAAGCAAGGCAGTGAATTAACTGGAGTGGCGGGGAGAAGGCTAACAAGTCTTATAATATATACATTAAAATAGTCAAGGGGAAACAAACTATCTCAGAAGCAGGGATAGCAACAAAAATCTAAATTCCTGCACTTACACTCGCGTAACTCCGTACAATTTCGAGACTGCCTTCGGAGGATTCCCGCAAAAACCTGTGGACTGGGCGGAACAGGGATTACTCTTACTTTACCGAAAAAGCAGGAAGAACTGCAACAGTGGCCAAGAAGACAGAAAAGGAACGAGTGTGAAAGCTAGTGCAAACACCTGCGGGGACAGGGCACCTTCATCGAATCTGAGGGGCACACAAGGGGCCTTAGGCCCGCGGCGGGGACAAAGGCCCAGAGGGAAGCCGCGGGGCTGAGGCTGTCGCCCGCCGGAGTTCGAGAAGCTGGGTGGTCGGTCCAGGAGCCTAGCTACTTACGTTGGACCAGCCGGTCTCCGGTGAAGGTGGAGGAGCAGCTGGTGATTAGAGCACAGGGGATGCCCGCAGCCATAACGACGCTCGTGAGCCGGTTCCGTCAGGAAGCCGCTTCCGCCTTGGGCTGCACCACGGCTGCCGACGCGCAGGGGGGATGAGCCAGGAAGGGAGCGTTCTCGGAATGGCCGGGCTACCCTGACTCCTCCCACATCCCCTCTTCCGCTCCCGGCGTAGGACAGGCCGGGCCGCGCGTGGTGTTGCCATGGGGACCAGCTCCCTCCGCAGGAGGTTTCTGCTCCTGCACACCCGGACTCTGGGAGGAGGTAGCCCTCCCAGGTCCTAGCCATGGCTCAGGGTACAGAAAACTACGACCCAATCGGAACCATCTTAATCCAGGTGGGGAACTGGGCCCCGCCAGGCTCTGCCTAGCTAAGACACTTCTGAACGAGCCCAGCAGTGCCGCCCCCAAACTGCCTCCAGAGAGCTGCCAAATATGCCAACCCACACCTGGCTCATGAGCCTACCACACTTCCAGTGCCCATGCCCTGGACGTTGCGTGCCAGGAGCATGATCATGCTGCCTCTGTTAAAACTTCAAGACCACCTCACCCCATAACCTTTACTTTGGAACACTCCACTGTACATTGAGGCACTATTTTAAAACATTAGGTTCTGAGACACTTAAAACCAAGATATAGGGGAGCGGGAATGATACAGACATGTTGGGGAGGTGGTGTGAACTGCTTTTCTTAAGCACCCAATTTTTTGGATCTAAAACTCCCTTGCAGATAAGTCCTGGGCATGTAGTGTATGGCATGGTGACTATAATTAATAATGCTGTATTATATATTTGAAAGTTGCCAAGAGTAAATCTTAACTGCTCATTACAAGAAAAACATAACTGTGTGGTGATGGATGTTAACTAGATCTAATGTGATTATTTTCCAATACATACAAATATGAAATTGTGTTGTACACCTGAAACTAGTATGTTATGTCAATTATCTCACTAAAAGAAAAGCACCTTGCTTGGGAAAACACATATAGGAAAATATAATAATGGTAATTTGGGTTGCAAATGAAGTTAAAGTTTTGAATATAAAAATATGACAAATTTAAAAAGCAGGGGAATAATTTTTTCTAATCTGAAGGGGGAAATATCCAGAAAGTCTTAACTTCTCCAATATAACACAGTTTGTAACGGTTCCACTAAGATTTTTCTGAACTAGTAAAACCATTTTTTTCCCACATTTACCTATTGTAGTTTAAAAATGTTTCTACATATATCATCACTTTTAACTCGTATATTTAGTTCCATATGACTATAATTTGCCTAAGGTCACTCTGTTAGGACTCTCACTCAAATCTACAATGGCCAAAGCCTCCAAGCAAAGACACTTTTACCAAGCAGGACATTTTAGAATGGAGATCACCTCCCTGTATCTAAGGGCAAAGGCCAGACCTCTCTTTAGATAAGGTTAATTAGTCACTACACACCCCCTTCCAAATCCAGGGCCCATTTTACAGACTCCAAACAATTGGAACACTAATGGAGCCTCTTATCCAGAAACAGTCAGTTCTTCCCCACAGTATACTTTATTTGACTACAGAAACAATTAAGTTTCTCTTTAGTGTCTCAATTTCTCCAGACCTGGGACAACTCTAAAAAAGAGACCAGATTCTGGGGAGAATTCTCATGCCTAATTTCACACTTTCCCTTGAGATAATTCTTCTTCCTAGGGCTGCTCCCCTTGTGGTTTGGAATAGTGTAGAATAATGTATTGACTGAAAAGGCAGAAGCGTTTTCCCTTCAGAGTGGGATTCAAAAGTAGCTGTTTGATTGATCTAGAATACAACATTACACTATCAATGTCTGTTGTCAAATTGTAAAATAGAACAGAAGAGCTAAGAACAGTCATAACCATGCTGATTCGCACCCCTACTTGCTTAAGGAATTATTTTAAGTAGAGGCTGTGTAGAGAGAGAGCCCCCATGTTAATCTGATTATTGAGGCCGATCTCTAGATACAATGTAAAATTCTCCCCAGTAATATATAGAATATGTATAACGAGGAAAATGTGGAAGACCTTTCCTACTTCCCACTGAGTCCTGAGTATTTGTGAGCATACAGCACCATTTTCAGACATGTAACATGGATTCTACTTCTGCCTGGGGCTGTGATTTCTTTCCTTCAAACAGGCTACCAATAAACAGTACCTCTAGTGGAAAGAACACTTGATTGGGAGTCAGAACACTGAGGTCCGACCCTAGCAATCACATTTTTCTAGGTAGGTAACTTTGGGCTAGTCAATTCCCCTTCCAGGCCTCAGTTTTCTCTTCTGTAGGAAATATAGCTTAGTTTAGATCCCTCTCTAAATAAATCGATTAAATTTCTCCAAAGCTATATAATTTCTCTTTATTGTAGACTTCCTTCACCATTAGCGTAGGCAGTCAAATTGTTTCTGTCAACATTATATATATATATGTGTGTGTGTGTGTGTGTGTGTTTGTGTGTGTGTTTGTGTGTGTGTGTATATATATGTATGTATATATATATATGTATGTATGTATATATATGTAT